GTGTACCTTGGTGATTGGCGGGAAGGTAGTTCGGCCGATATCGTGGGGATTCGGTGGTAAGAACTACGTTACTCCGCAGCTCGGCGTTTTCTTGGGTCAGTCGATGGACTTGGTCAACCAAGCTAGCCATCTGCCTATGGAGGTCTCTCATAGTCATTACTGGTATCGAATCCTCCTCGTCTTCGTCTTCGTCTCCTTCTCGTGGTGGTGAAGTCTCTAGAGATTCCTGGGTTGGCAGCTTGCCAGCTTTCTTCTCCGAGACGGTTTGGTCCTGTAATCGGACCGATTTCCGGGGTGGTTCCTTAGAACTACCGGGTTTTGGCGGGTCAACCATCAGCGATTGCCTCTGAGGTTGATGGGTTATTGGTAGTCTCCGAGTCTCTACCGTGGCGCACTCTACGCGACTTTTACCGAAGTAATCTGCCTCGCGAGGAGCGCAGAAGTTCCAAACCCAAAGGCTTCGGCCGGCAGGAGATCAATGGGATCCTGCCTAGGTGAATGTCAGATGTGACGGTGTAAGTATCCGGATCGGTTCCGGATAACTTGAGGTTGGACGTAGTCTGAACAAACAGCTGCGATATTGTTTTGAAGCCGTCACCGGCTGGGACGAGACTTTTGATATAATGTAACGGCGCAGGCAAGACTACTCGGATCAGTATCGGCAGTAGCGTCACTCAGAGGCATATGGGAGTGCGTGGGACATCAAACGAGCCTTGATTCGAATAGACACCTATAGGCCTTGTACGAAAGGATATCAAAAGTCTACAGAGCTAGCTACAGGGAGTGTCTCCTTATATACTTATCTTAGTCGGATCCGAATCGGATCCGACCTCACAACGAGTGGTTGATGAAGAGGGCGGCGAGTACTACCTCCGATCCGGCTCTGGGATTGGTCCGATACATGGCGAAGTTGTAACATCGTTACACTATCTAAACTTATATAAAGCGCTATAGCGGTAGTAGGCATAATAGAGATAAGCCTAAAGACGGCGAAGAGCTTTATATACATAGTGTCGTCTGTTATAACTAAACTAGTGGTAGTATAGCGCGCTCGTACTCGCTGTCCATATTAAGTAGCTATAACTAGTTAAGTACAAGCTCTAGCTTCTACAGAGCAAGACTAGTTCGCCGCCAGCCGCTCTATATAGTAGTGCGCGTAAAGGTAAGACGTCGGATCTTAGCAAGAGTCGCTAGAAAGTCTACCTTATTAATATCTTTTAAGCCAGTGCGAGACGCCCACTCTAAGCAGCGGCTGTAGTACTATGTTACAAGTAACAAGAAGGATTCTCTCCTTGACAAATGACGAGATGGCTGAAGGCCTAAGGACGTCCACGTCAGAAGGTAATGATCATCGCGGGGCGAAGATCACGTGACTGGCTTCACGCCAAGACCAAGTATCCCGCGCTAGTATGTGAGGACACCCTCACACGTGACTAGATGTCTTCAGGGACTTCAGAAGATACAGGGGTTATTTCGTGAAGACTGTGAAGCCAGGACTAGAAGTAATAAGGATATAAGGATAGATGGATTTCATTATTACTCTCGTTGTGGTTAACTTAAATTATACTTTCTTACTAGTTACTTAACTTTATAAGATTGATACTTATTAGTCTATTCGATATAGATTAGGAATTATTAAACCTATTATTATCTATCTTATAAGCACGCCCACTCTACTGCATCGCTAGATAACTACCTTACGGCGCTATTTACATATCCTTACTCGCCCTAACTTGGATTATGTAAAGGGCTGCGCCCGTGATCTCTACTGAAGGGATCACGTGATCTTCGACCACGTGATATACCTTCTGTACGGACACGTGATCAGAAGCGAGTAGGTATAAGAGAAGTCTGTACTTAGTTATCTTCTCTTTTTCTCATCTTTTAGCTTCTGTACGATAGGTAGAAGCATACTCGTTCGCTAGGCCTCTCCGCCCATAACATAAGCTAAAAGATCACTTTAACCTCTCTTACTCTTTTCTCTCGTACGGAGCGAGAGAGAATTGAGAATGCAAAACGAGCAAGATATAACGATGGAGCTACATAAGCCTATGCCAAACCTAGAACCCAGTAACGACCCACCAAGGCCTCCAACGTACGAGGAGCTCACAGAAAGCTGGAGCCAACTGAATGCAACGAATAATCTACTCCGACGAAACCTAGACCAGATAGCTACAAGACTTAAGGACGCTGAAGGCGTACGAGAAGAACTCCAAGAGATGAAAGCCCTTTTTCTCCGTACGGTACAGGGGCAAGCTACCCCTAACGCACAGACTCCCAATCTCACGCCAAGTATGGAAAGTCAGCAACCTCCTAGCCAGCCTCTAGCTACGACTACGCCCGTACAAGAGTTTGGAAAAGCTAGACTCCCTGATGTTAGAATCTTCGAGAAAGGTTCACACGAAGAATACACGCAGTGGAAGATGCAGATCCGTACGAAACTATCAGCGGATTACCTAGCTTACCCTACGGAGTTCTACCAAGCTCACTATGTGATCTCCCGGACGGGAGAACTAGCCTTTTCAGCATTACAGGCTTACGTACAAGACTTCATAAGCAGAAACGTATCACCTAGCTTGAGTAAGCTTTGGGAGCAACTAGACGCGTTCTTCGAAGACCCTTCAATTAAGCAAAAAGCTCTACAGTATCTCCGTACAACTAAGCAAGGAAAAGGCGAGTTTCTTCTCCACGTACGAGCCTTTAACCTAAAGTTCAACGAAGCCGGTTTCGGACAAGACGATAACGCGCTGAAAATTGACTATCTCAAGAATTCTCTCAATAGAAAGCTACTACGCTACCAAGCTGGGTACCAGCCTCCTTCAAACGAGACGTACGACGCCTTTGTTCATCGACTTAGGAACACTTGGGAGAATCTCAAGGTAATTGACCAACTCTCGTCCAACGCGCCCTCTTACTCTACCTCTCTTCCTACGTCTACCCCAGCTGCCGTAGACGAAATGGACTGGACGCCTAATGTAGGCGCCATGCGTCCCCGTACGAGGAACGAGTACTGGGGTACACAAAGCCAAATTGCTCAACGCAAGGAGGAGGGCAGCTGCCTACGTTGTGGCATCCACGGCCACCTCGTACGGCAGTGTAAAGCAGCAGTCCCAAAACGCACGCGTAAGCCAGAGACCGTGACAAAAGTCCTAGCTGCTACCTTAGAAGACGAAAGCTCGGACGAGGGAAAAGAGGAGCCCTAGTCCAAAAACGCCGACTAGGGCAGCCAAAGCAGGTTAAGCAGGTCGTACGACCTGTCCAAGAGCTACTTCACCAACTAAAGCCTACTCAGCCAATGTCCATAGACGTAATCGTTAATCTTTTGAAAAACGCTACTGCTATGATTGATAATGGGTGCTGCACTTATGCGATAGTATGTGAAAGACTCGTACGAGAACTTGACCTGCCGCGCGTATCTATCCCTACTAGGGAAATTGAAGGTGTCAATAACCAGAAAAGCACTGTACGAGCTATTACTCAATTCACTGTAGATGTTGGAGGAATTAAGCGAAAAGCAGCCGCTTTCATTACCACGTCCACGTACGAGTACGACATTATTTTAGGGAAGACCTGGCTTGAAGATGTAGGAGGTGTTATTGATGCGGCCGGACGAACACTTCTTCTTCCACGTTACGATCTCTCTATACCTAGCATAGAGAGAACCAAACCACTACAGAACTTCGCTGCAATCTCAGCAGCCGCCTTTCAGGCCCACGTACGACGAAGCCGAAAACAGCCAGCTCTGCAAGTCTTCGCTGCCAGTCTCCAAGACATCGAGAAAGCTCTCCGTCCGAAGACGCAGCTAACTATAGCAGAAGTAACCAAGTCGCTTCCTTCATACTTGCGACAGTACGCCTCTCTATTTACCCCAAAGGAAGGAGACGAGCTCCCGCCCCTACGAGGTCCAGACGTTGACCACAAGATCGAACTGATCCCTAAAGACGATGGGAAGCTGCCAGAAGTCCC